GAATGGTGGCTCAGGAGATGGAGATACCGAACAACAGGGTGCCCCTGCAGAAGGTTCAAATGCTGCAGCACCAGAAAACAATGCAAGCTCGGCAAGCCGGACCCGGGACAGCAGACAGAAGCTCAGTTCTGTCACAGCCGTGCCCGGCTGGCTTCGCGAGAGATATCCTATCCCGGGCGACATTGCAGTGGTGCATGTTGTGCACACGACCAGTACGCTTCCACACTTTCAGGTTAAGCTTCCCCACGGCGAAACCTTCCAGGGCCAGTGCTTGGGCTGCAAAAAAGAAATAAGACTTTCTGTTAGTACACACTCGAAATTTAAATAAAAAACCTGGGATGTTCTCTCAGCAGTAGTATGTATGAACTAAGGCATTCAGCGAGTGCATCTTACAATCCATCGCTTCCAGAGGGGCAGCTGGATATCAAGAAAACTCACATTTCGTTGATTCCTCCCAGGCTTCGCAGTATGCTTCAGAGTTGGTACATTGTCCATGTGTGGGCAACACAGGCAAGGTCGAGCAAACGTCACAAGAAGTAGGGGTCGAGTAGCTGCGATGCTATTTGTGCAGAGCAAAAAAGATCGCCGGTCCAGCTCAGACCTTTCATACCGATATATCAATGCATCTTCTTTTCGCTAGGTGTTTGGCGACCTAGTAAACGCCAGTTAGGTGTTTGGCGACCTAGTAAACGCCACTAGCTAAACCCTGAACTATCTGCATACAATATCTAAATTCCCAAAGCCCAAGTGGAACCATGTTCTGAACTGGAAGGGCTGCTTAAGCGGAATGGCTATGGAAGGCTATGATTATAGGGTTATAGGGTTATAGGGTTCTAGGGTTCTAGGGTTCTAGGGTTCTAGGGTTCTAGGGTTTAGGGGTTAGGGGTTTTAGGCTTAGGCTTTCTTTAGATTTTGGGGAGGTTTTTGAGCTTCGGGTTTAGAGTTAAGAGTTTCGAGGCCTAGTATGTCCAACATTTAGGGTTTGAATTCGTATAGAGGTAGAATATAGGTACATGCAAGGTAAAACAAAGGTAAGACGAGGGTAAAGAAAAGGAACAAAATAAAGATATAAGGTAAACGAAAGGCCTAGGAAAATTAACGGTAGAACAGAGGAAAACCCAAATGTAATTATAAAGGGAATTGTCCGAGTCAACTTTGTTTCGCATACGTAATCACCTTTGTTTTACGTACACATGTACCTTTGCGCTTGCCCTGTGACATCACCTTTAACTCATCTTCATTCATCTTTGGCTGCGATCAGATCAGAATGTCTCAAGTTTAGAGTCTACGGTTCGGCTTCGTGGTGCTGCTGTGAGGCGAACGCTGCAGGTGGATAGGGGTGTACAGTGCAGGATTTAGGGTTTGATGTCTAGCGTGTAGAGTCTAGGCTTGGACCGGAGGCTTCATCTTTGAATCTGCAGAGAGAATGAATTTTGGTAGGCACCAGTCCTGACGAATTGAAGCACTGGCGGCGTGTCATGGTACAAGTTCCGTCTAGAGCCCTGATTCGTTCTAGTTGTTTGGGTGATGTTGGGGGGGCGTCATAGGACTTCTCCCAATATACCCTAATCTCCGACAACAAGATCCCTAAACCCCATAAACCCCTAAACCCTAAGCTCTTCCGGAGCTGCTTCTCTCGGAGGTTGTTTGTTCGAAGCCGGCTTTGACGGCTTTCAGTCTGCTAGTCAGGAACCCAAAGAGGTCAATACCGCTTAATTATGGCTTATACCTTCATGATGTAGGGATCCTTAATGCGATTTAAGGCATATTCCTTTCATGATGCAGGGATCCTTAATGTGATTCCAGGCATGTTCTTTAAGCAAGGGGTACCGCCGAAATATGGATTATACCTGTCATTCTGCAGGGATCCTTCTTGTGACTTAGGTATATTCCTGAAGCAAGGGGTATTGGGCTCTTTGGGAGCCTTCAAGCGTCGTGGTACATTTGCGCTTAGGGCTCCGGGTGAAGGGCCTGGACCGCACTCGATGAGCTTTTTTAGGATTTTGGGTTTTGGGTTTAGGGTTTAGGATTTAGGGTTTAGGGCTTGTGCAAAACGGGCTTAGGGTTTAGAGTTTGCAGAAGGTTTAGGGTTTTCAGGTTTTCCTCCCTGACTGGCCCTGAGGCAAGCCCCCTGAACCCGAAACCCTCACGACTCTGGCTTAGAGTTGAGGGTTGCAGGTTTAGGGTTGAGGGTGCACAGTGTAACTTAAGAACCACAAGCCTACTCATCTTTAGGCAGGCTCTTCGTTGAAAACCCCTGACAGGTTTCTTAGGGTAACCTGCAAAATGCTGCAAAAAGTAGGTGGGGGTTCTTAAACCCTAAACCCCAACCCTACACTCTAAACCCTAGGCCTTAGACCCGAAACCCTGAACCCTAAACCTTAGACCCTAAACCCTAAAGCCCTAAAGCCCTAAACCCCAAACCCCAAACCCCAAACCCTAAACCCTAAACCCTAAACCCTAAACCCTAAACCTTCGCCAGGACCCGCTGCTGGAAGTCACCCCGCAGGCGAAGCGGGAGCTGATCACGAAGTGGACAGCGGAAAGTCCGGGGTCCCAGTTTTGGTCATTTTTTGATTTAACCGGTTTAGGGTTTAGGGTTTAGGGTTTAGGGTTTAGGGTTTAGGGTTTAGGGTTTAGGGTTTAGGGTTTAGGGTCGACGGGAGCCCCTGGAGTGCCCAACCCCAGAGTAGGACAGCCCGCAAATACCAATTCTGCAGGGTGGGTGGAATGTTGGAAGTAAGAGAATGTCTAGATACACACATGATTTAATATGTCTATATATATATAACTATATCTCTATATATACATATATATATATATTATGTATATATATATATATACTGTTTTGTTTGTTTTTTTTAAGGGGGGTGGTGGGTTTTTTGGGGCTTCAGGGCGAGTCTACGGGCTCGGCCGAGGACTGCTGTCTCCGGGTTGCTGCCGGCATTACATCATTACACCCCTGAAGCCCGCGAAATGGCTTAGGGTTTTAAGGTTGCCCTAGGCCCCAAACCCTCAACCCTAAACCCTCAGCCCTAAACCCCAAACCCTAGACCCTAGACCCTAAAGCCGAACCCTAAACCCTAAACCCTCAACCCTCAACCCTAAAACCTAAACCCTAAACCCTCAACCCCTACAGCGCCCTCAGGTGGGGTCCGGTCGTTGGAGCGGCGCGTAGCCCAGGCCCGAATGGGTCTTCGGGGGATCCCTGCTCCGTCTGGTTCCTAGGCTTACCAGGGATTAGGGTTTAGGGTTTAGGGTTTGGGGTGTAGGG